CTTATGGCAAAGGGAAAGCAGACAACTTCTTCACAAGTCAGCAGGAGAGAGAGGGCACGAGCACAGCAGGGAAATGCCAAACTCTTTTAAAACCATTAGATCTCATGAGAACCCCCTCACTATCATGAGAAAAGCATGGTGAAAACTGTCCCTGTGATTCAGTTACCTTCCACCAGGTCCCTCTCTCAATACCAGGGGGTTATAATTCAGATTACAATTCGAGATGAGATGTGGGTGAGGACACAGACAAACCATATCATACAGCAATGTTAAGGTGTGTCAGGAACCATATGAGACACTGGGAGCAGCCACTGCAACTGGCCTTGCAGTCTGGGGCAAATAAAGAAGCAACAACGGGAGCAGCTTGGCTCTGCAATCTCAACAGCAGCGCAAGCAACACCTAGCGGCCTCTGGCTGCCCAGGTAGCCATCAAGGCAACTGAGTTTGGTGCCGTGAAGAAACAGCTGAAGAGTTTGAGAATGAAAAACAGTGAGATAACAAGGGAAAGCAAGAGAGTACAAAATCTTAGAGGGGTAATGGTGGTGGGAGTGATCAACAGTGTCAAATGCTACAGTTACAGCAATGGATTGGGTACTGATGTGGTCTGACTCTGTCCCTATCCAAATCTCATCTTGAATTGTAATCTGAATTGTAATCTCCCTGTGTTGGGGGAGGGACTTTGTGGGAGGTGATTAAATCATGGGGGTGGTTCTCATGCTGTTCTCATGACAGCGTGTTCTCATGAGATCTGGTTTTATAAGAGGCTTTTTCCCCCTTCGCTTGACACTTTTCTCTCCTGCCATCATGTGAAGAAGGACATGTTTGCTTCCCCTTCCACCGTGATTGTAAGTTTCCTGAGGCCTCCTAAGCCATGTGGAAATGTGAGTCAATTAAACTTCTTCATAAATCACCCAGTCCCAGGTATTTGTTTATAGCAGCATGAGAAAAGACTAACACAGGTATTAACAAATGAAACTGGCAATGTTTAGTTCATCAGAACATTGACAAAAGCCACTTCAGTGGAGTTATGGGACCAAACACCTGATTGGTATGATCAAGAGATGATCAAGGAAAGAATCGATATATAGAAAATTATTTCTTTCCAAGTTCTGAGTAAAATTCTTTTGAGCTTTGTTGTAGGTAAATTAAATAGCATAAGACCTATTTGATAGTACAATAGGGTGACTACAGTCAATAATAACTGTACATTTTAAAATAAAGTGTAACTGGATTGTTTGCAACCCAATGCATAAATGCCTGAGGAGATGGATACCCCATTCTTCATGATGCGCTTATTTCACATTGCATACCTGTATCAAAACATTTTATTTCTCATAAATGATAAACTATATACCCACAAAAATAGATTTAAATTTTTGACTGAGTTCTGTCCTATCTCCCTCAAAAATATTTTTTATACTGACCCATGGTAGGAGATAGAAGGACTTCAGAAGAACTTTTCTCAAAAGGGCATTTTTTCTTATAATTCTTCTAATCCACAAAGCATCCCAATATAAATAATTGTACATTCCTCATAATTTTGCATCACTCTGAATTGACAGCAATTGTACATTGAATCAGTCACTGTAGGCTTTCCTTTTTTTTTTTTCTCTGTAGAGGTCAAAATATCTCTTTGATTTACAGAGGACTATTAGGAAATTATTTTCCCCATGGCCAATCCATGACCAATGTAGACCATCCTCAGGAAGACTTGGCTTCGAAGAACTTGGGACATGTATCCTGATTTTCATAAGCTTTCTCCTCTTCCTCCCCTTGTCTAGGACTATCCCCTCTCCAATCCATTGATTACTAGTAGCCAGGCCTAGCATAAGTGTATGCAAAAATTTTTTCCTTGATCTAAAAATATACAAGGTGAGTCAGTCACTCATTCCCAGTCACCAAGGACCCCACTCAGCTCTAGAGTGTCACAGACTCAGAGTATACTGTCCAGTTAACCCAGGACAAGCCTTGGCAGCTGGAATTATATACATGGAACTTTTAAGCCCAGATTTGGATCTCGCCTTTGGAACCTAAAGTCCTTGAGCAGTTCAGTTATGAATAAACCCAGGGCTTCTATACAGCAGTGTAACCATGAACAAAATGTTTGCATTTGCAACTAACCAACCCACCAATTGACTTTTTCCTTCCAAAATCAAAGTTACTTTATATAAATTATATAATTAGATGTCACAATTACATTAATAAGTGCTCTCATCTGTTGAGCTCAATAAAAAATTATACAATCGCATTGACCATTTGTGAGGAATTCCGTCTTTATTCATTCATTTAACACAAATTGCTTACCATTCTCAGGGCCATATTAAGCACTAGAGTTAGACAACTCAGGAAAAACAAACACCATCATGATGCTTGCAGTGAATAGGGAAGATGGGCACTAATCAAATAACCACACAAACATACATAAAATGGGTTCTCTGCTAGATTCAGTGCTTTATATACATTTGTACTTAAATCCTCACAATCTCTCTATGAGGTAAGTATCCCCATTTTATAATGATGAGAAAACAGATTCAGAGAAAGTGACTAACTTAAAATCACACAGCTGGTATGGGCCCAAGCTGAGATTTTTCAACCCGGGTTTTCTGCATGGGTGGGTAGCAGTCTGATATGCATAAGAATTAAAAGCAGGAGCTTTAGATTTTTATACACTGACTTTAAAAAAAAATGATGCCAAAATCTGAACTCCACTGCATATCACACCCTTATAATCTCTTAACTGGGCAAACTAGTAGCAAAGCTTTTTAGAGACCATCTCAGAACTCCCTTTGTGTCAATCTCAGATACGCCAGTACTGTAGTAATTTGGCCTGTGAAGCAAAAGAAGGCATTATGGAACATGCCAAGAAGCCTGCACACTGAAGGTGAAGTTGTATAGGCATAGACCCCCATATCCCTTCCAGCTCTTGAGGTCACTGCAGTCATGAAATAGCAAGAAATATGGTGATAGAGATTAAGGGTAGGTGGGAGCAGTTTCCAAGTTCAGAACTACTGTGGATAAAAGCCCAAGATCCCTACAATCCTAGATCAGATGTCTGATATCCAAGTTTTATTCTGGTAACCCTCTGAATGGGAATTTTCCAGCCTCTGGGCTGTGTATACAATGTGTTTTCTTTTGTTTTAACTGCAAAAAATGCCTCTGGTCCTGAATACCATCATGTCAGTGTAAGGTTTCTGATAGAGGTTGGAGGGAACCTCAGTGAGATGGATATGCTGGCTCCCTGACCAGAACCCTCTTGTTACTGGGGTTATACGTGAAGCAGACAGAAGGGCCTGAAGAACACTTTCCTATTCAGCCTATGATATGTGGCCCTGATAAGGAAATTTGCTGTGTATATATACAAGCTATCTTTTCAAATGACCTCCCTTTCTAAAGTGGCTGGTCAAACTGGATTTACTGAAACTTCTGGTTGGCTATTACTAGATGAAATGATAACTTTAAACTTGTAATTTGCTATCCTTGATTCTTGAGCTCTATAAGCAGGATCTGTGACTTCAGATCTATCTATCTGCATTGGCAGTTGCCTCCTAGTTACTGATAGGCACAGGATCCTGAGTTCCTTGGAACTCACACTATGATGGCCAATGTAAATACAATCTAGCAGGAAAAACAATTCCAACTAGAGCTGCTTGTAAAGAATTCACAGCTCCCACCCTGCCTTTTTGCCTCCAAATTCCTCATTCTGTCTTGTTTCAATTCATGAAAATGACACATAAAAATGACCACAGTCATTAAATTGCCACTTGTCTGGATAGCCATAGAAATAGACATGTATCTTCTAACAGCTCTATCACCACTGCTTCTTTTAAATTTGAGTGGTTTCCTACTAGGAATATCCCTATTTCAATTCTTCAGGAAATATACAAATATTTTAGATCTGAACAGGCCAAAGGCCATGATAGTGCTGAAGTGAAACATCCTTCAGTTTCTGGGTAAACTTCCTTCTAGAAGTTTGAAAGTAGCTTTGGAAAAAGCACCACAATAAACTTAGCTCCTCTCTGAGCTGCATCCTTAGAGACAGTCTTCTGACCATGTGTTATAGAGAATTACACTTTGTCCCGAATGCTTCTGACATTATCTTTATCTCATTACACTTCAGTTTATCAACTGCTTGTTACCCCACAGGCCTCAAACATTCAGATGGCTCAGTCTCCTCCCTTCCTGAGGATCCACTGTCAAGAAAATTTTGCTCCTGCATCTACCCTACCCATTTATTCAACAATATGTATTGAGCACTTACTGTATGATAGATACTTCTTGGAGCTGGGAATACATCAGTGAACAAAATAACCCTGAATCCCTGACCTCACGGAGCTGACATTCTAGCAGATCAGCAGCTGTGAAAGTGGATGACTATTCCACCCTTACCATTGGTTACCTTAGAAACCAGCACTATCCAGAAGTTATAGTGAGCAATTTCCCTAGACTTGGCAATGCCAAACTGTCTCTACTGCACAATCAGAAATAAAGTGAACCAAGAGGAAAATACCACTCCCTAAGCTGCAAATCACCACAAATAAATTTGGCATGTATACTGTTGTCATATGTGTTTCCCTACCACCCACCTCCCTTTTCGGATTCTTGTTATATGAGCCAGTTAATATTAAATTTGAGAAAAGAGGGCTGGTATTAAGGTGAATATAGTTTACTGCAGCTCATCCTTAGGCTTAGAAGTCAAACAAGAAAGAAAAATCCAGGGGAGGGGAGAGGTACCTGTACACATAGATGCACACATTCTCTAAGTTTAGTTAAGCCCTTTGGATAAGGAGATATCATAGCATGGAAGAGTTTGACATAGTTCAGCTCTAATCAGAGAAATGAGAAGATTATCAAGGTGATACTTTAATAAGCTTTATGACACTTTTAGTCTCCAAAAACTGTAACAGAGCTGAATCACCCAAAAACCTTGAAAATTAACTCTCTAGAGTGACTCCTCCCCCACCCCAAGTCCCAGGGTCATGTGTCAGGATCCTTCTGCTGTTCTAGAAAGCATCAATCCTCTTCTGGAGGTGCTTTAGGAGGCTATGACAGATCTGCCTAGACTTGATGGAATACACAATAGGGTTCATGAAAGGTGGGACCAGGAAGTGTAGGTTGGCCATGAGCACTGCCAGAGAAGTGTAGCTGTGTTTCTCTACTCGGTGCAACACAGAAAGCCCCAGTTTGGGCAAATAAAAGATGAGAACAATGCAGAGGTGTGACACACGTGTGTTGAGGGCCTTGAGCTGTTCTCCAGGTGATGCAATGCCCAGCACTGTTCGTAGGATCAGGGCATATGAGAGCATGATGAGGGAGGAGTCAAGGCAGAGTGAGAAGAGGATGGAAACCAGGCCAACCAGGCTGTTGATTTGGGTGTCTGAGCAGGCCAAACTCACAAGGTCACAGTGTAGGCAGTAGCAGTGAGAGAGTACGCTGATCTGGGGAAAGAGCAGGTGCTGCAGTAGGATAGGTCCTGGGAGGTTGAGCAGAATAGCCCTTACCAGAATCACAGTTCCCACTTTGGCTGTGGCTGAGCGGGTAAGGATTGTGGCATAATGCAGAGGGTCCCGGATGGCAATAAAGCGATCAAAGGCCATGGCCAGCAGTACTCCAGATTCCACATAGGTGAAGGCATGGATGAAGAACATCTGTGCTGCACAGAGATCAAAGGGCAGCTCACGAGCTTCCAACCAGAAGAGACGCACCATGGTGGGTAAGGTGGAGGCACAAAGGCCCAGATCAGAGGCTGCCAGCATGGACAGGAAGATGTACATGGGTTCGTGTAAGGCTGTATCTGTGCAGATCAGGAAGAGGATGATACTGTTACCCAAGATGGAAACCACACAGATGAGGTTGATGGGGATGGAAACCCAGTGATGAGAGGCTTCCAGGCCTGGAAAACCAGTGAGGAGGAAAGTAGACTGACCAGAAGTGCTGGTGTTGCAGGAGAACATGGTGATTCCAGGTGGCAGTTGTCCACACTAGGAGTAAGAAGAAGCATTGTTCATTTGATCATTACTTATAAAGTCCCTAATAAGTGTGGGCTGAGAAAGAAGAGCTGCCCCATAATCCTTTCTTAGGTTATGAAAGAAACTCCATTCATTTTAGGAGCTCTATTCCCTTCCATTTCCTGACCTTTTTGGCTTGAATAAAATGATGTAGCACTTTATTCAAAAAGAGAAAGTTTCTGAGTTGATCTCTGCTTACTGATGATGGCTATTTCATTAGCCACTGTTTTCCCTTTGGCCTAAACAACCTCTTTTTTTCACTTGTTAAACCTAAAAGTCTCCCTCTCCAGAGTGTCTTCTTAGACTAAAAACTGAAGGAGAATAATTTTATGTAGAAATTTAAAGTTGTATTAGAAACAAGTTTCAATTCCATTTCTATTTATTTTTAGAGGTGAAGTCTCCCCCTCCAGGGTGTCTTCTCAGACTAAAAACTGGAGAAATAATTTAAGTAGAAACTAAATACACATATTCTCTCAGGTAGAAACTTAAAATTATATTAGAAACAAGTTTAAATTCCATTGCTAATTATTTTTAGAGGTGGATTTTCCAGTCTGACAGATCTGTTATAAACCATAAAGGACACACTCAAACAAATAAGATATTTCAAAACCATTCCCTAAGGAGGCTGGTTGCATATTCCTCTGGTGCTATCATGGAACTAACGTTTTCTATATTTCTTTTTTAGAAATGCCTTTGGGGCCCAAAACAGGTTATTTAAATGTGCTTAATGGTGACAAATTTCTGTCCTATGAAGATAAATTGGCTTAAGGAAGTATTCAAGAGTTCTTGGTATTAAGAACTGATAGACAAGATAGTAGCTTACCAGATACATTCAATTTTTTTAATCTCCTTCCTCACCAACCCTACCTTCATTTCATAGGCTGCTTAAAGCTTATATATTTCATTCTGTCCCTACCTTCAAAATAGTCCTGTGGCCATGAACTCAATCGGAAGGAACTTTCCTCTTAAATAGCTCTTCTTCAGCCCTCTTACTATGAAAGTTATTACAATAGGGCCAAGTACTCTGAAGTACTCCCAAGTTGGGGGCAGAAGATGGAGGCTGACATGTCTTGAGGGGCATCCCCTGAAGAGTCAGGAAGAGCAGCATGAACTTAATCCCAAGATTAATCATATTGTTCCGTGGAGGTCAAAGTACAGTGTGTAAACTAATCTGTTCTCGTAACCTCACATAGCACTTTTAGGCTACACTTTCTTTCCAATTTCTCTCCTTACAACAGGACTGCATCTCCATTTGTCTTCTCAGCATCTCACATTGTGATTCTGCAAGATATTAAATCTGTAGTCCAAACCAAACTCTAATTCCTCCACATCTCCCCAAAACTCACGGTTCAGCACCTGTTGGCTAGTGCCTCCTTTCCTTTCCTGTTATCTGTGAAATACCAAAAAACTAAGACAACTTTGTATGTCCTTTTACTTTGTAACATATTCTCCAAAACAACTCTCTTTAAACTATTCCCTCCTTTTAGATCCCAATGAAACTAAGCTGGCTGAATCATCACCATTTTCCTGGATATTATAACAGCTTAGCTCTCCCACTTTCTTCTTTCTGCATTCACATGTTCTCACTCATAAGTGGGTGTTGAACAATGAGAACACACAGACACAGGGAGAGGAACATCACACACTGGGGCCTGGGGGGTGGGGGGCCAGGGGAGGAATAGCAGGGGGTGGGGGGATTGGGGAGGGACAGCATTAGGAGAAATACCTAATGTAGATGACAGGGTGATGGATGCAGCAAACCACTACCATGGCGCATATATACCTATGTAACAAACCTGCACAATCTGCACATGTACCCAAGAACTTAAAGTATAATTTTTAAGTCCAATTTTTCATACTTGTCATTTCATAAATATTTTGCTGCCAATTTGGCATTGCACTATAGATTTAATATCTTGCAGAATATTCTAAATTCTAAATTGGCAGCAAAATATTTATAAAATGACAAGTATGAACATTTAAACTAGTATATGTATACAGAAAACAAAATGGTGATCAAATTTGTATTAGGAAGATGTCTTCTATCATAACTGTGTTTCATGATCACCAGTTGTTTCCTGATACCTGCAGGATCAGGTCTAAGCGACAGCTTTATACTAAATCCAGATGAGGAAAGTCTTGACCATTCTGCATGTCTAGTCTTTTCAATCACCTCTTCCCTAAGTATTAGAAACTCTACTCTTAAGACAACTTTCTACTCACCAAATTCACCATATTTGATCGTTTTTCAAATATTTTTATTTAAATATAGCATACACATAGAAAAGCCTGCATACCATAAATGTAAATCTTGATTAATTTCCACGAAGTGAATATACTCATGTGATAAACACCCAGATGAATAAGCAGGATATTGTCATTCCCCCCCTAAAAAAAAAGCCTATGAATTCTTTTACTCTATCCCCTCATTGATAATCATTATCTAACTCCACTGATTAATTTAGCCTATTTTTGAACTTTCTATAATTAGAATCATATAGTATGTACCCATTTGTGTCATTCACTAAAGTTTGTGAGATTCATCCATATTGTTTCATACAGCTATAATGTATCCATTTTCATTGTGTATAATTTTTTCCTTGGGTGAATATACCCTATATGAACACGTTTGCAGTTAAGTATTACCTAGGAATGAAATTGACTTACCATAAACTATGCATATATTGAGTTTTCACATATTCTTCCAAACAGATTTCAAAAGTGATTTACCAATTTATACCCACAGCAACACTGTAGGAGAGTTCAATTATTCCACATCCTCATCAATATTTTGTGTGGTTGGCCTTTTTAATTATAGCTATCTATGGGTGTGTAATGGTATTGTCTTGTGGTTTTCATGTACATTTCCTCAATTTCTAATAAGGTAAGCACATTTCCATATGCTTACGATTTAAATATCTTCTTTTAGGAAGTTTTCAGTCTTTTACTCATTTTTCTATTGGGTTGCCTACATTTTTCATGTTGTTTGTATGTGTTCTCTATTCTGAATAATCACTGTGAATGTTATGTGTTTAAGTGGCTCAGCAATTTTCTAATTGCCATTTTTATGAAAGTTATATAACCTTGACAGGTTTGTTTCCCAAGTCCGTTTTCAATAGCTTTGTGCACGAACCAGCTTAATCTTGTAGTCAGATGTCTCACATGATGCCTAGCACTCAGTGTATTCATCACAATATTAGTTCACTTCACTTTTACATTCAGTGAAAGTCTGACTTCTTCAGCGCACTTGTTTATAATGAAAAGATAAGCCCTTGGATAATATCAAAATTCCATCATTCCCTCTTTTGTACCTGTCCTTCGGACATGTCTTTTGAGTAAACTGTGGGGATACAGCTGGCTAAGAAACATTCCTAGAGGGAGTCATTTTACCTGTCTGCATCCTTCAGTGTCCCCAGGCTGGGTTCAGTGCATGTCTCCATTAAATACATCAGAGCAACTATCAAGGTCACGGCCATACTCTGTGCAACTGCAAGGGGGCACCACACACACATCAATATATGTGAATGCACCTTCAGGAGTTGTGGTTCTCAGCCTATGCTGTCACAGTGGGTATCCCTAACCATGAGTCAGAAACCGCACTGCTGACTCACCACACTGGTGGGAGAACAGATAACAGACACTGGCAATGGTTGAAGAGAGCCTGGAGATTGGTGGGAGACTATTCAATTCTTGGGGGATAAACCTGCATCTTGGAACAGAAAATGTTTGTCCTCCTTGCCACTGTAAACCTAGTACCTAGCAAACTACCCAGCAAGGTGTCATATAAGTTTGTACCAACCTTCTGTCCACAGCCGGCCAACGTGAAAATTACATGTCCACAATCTCAGCTGACAGAGTCAGAGCCACCTTCTCAGGAACTGGCAACTTGTGGTTTCTAAAGATCCATACATCACTGTGGTAGAGTTAAAGACACCCTGAACTACCCCCTCTTTCTTTCCTTTTTGTTGTGCTGCTTTCTTTCCGATACTTCTTCAGGGCTCTAAGTTTACTAAGCAATATTGATAGTAAGAATTAGGAGGCTGGGCACCATGGATCACACCTGTAATCTCTGCACTTTGGGAGGCCGAGGCAGGCAAATCACCTGAGGTCAGGAGTTCAAGACCAGACTGGCCAACATAGTGAAACTCCTCCTCTACTAAAAATACAAAAAATTAGCTGTGTGTGGTGGCAGGCACCTCTAATCCCAGCTACTTGGGAGGCTAAGGCAGGAAACTCACTTGAACCCGGGAGGCAGAAGTTGCGGTGAGCTGAGATTGCATCACTGCACTCCAGCCTAGGCAACAGTGAGGCTCTGTCTCAAAAAAAAAATCAGGATATAGCATCTCTGTCCTATAAACACATAGTTTACACATATTACCTTACTTAATTATCTAGCCCTGTGTGATATTTTTCCATTTTCTCATAAGGAAATTGTGTCAGGGAGGCAAGTACTTTGCCAAGGTTGTAAAGCTAGGTGGTAGAGCCAGAATAGAAATCCAAGCAACCTAAAGAAACAGTCTATTTGCTTAATTGCTTCATACAGGAAAAAAAGCAATTCTGACTCTTGGCACTTTGTGGTTGTCAGATCCTTTGCCCACAGAATAATTTAAAGGCCAAATTTTTGTCCCCTCCCTCTAACCCCATTTCCCTTTAAAACAGATGCAGAGGCTTGAGATCAGAACAAGTTCATCCTCTAAGAGATGTTATTTTCAGATAAATCCAACCAGGCCTACTTGTTTCCCATCACTCCCAGTTTTCCTAACCTTTTTACACAGACTGTGGCCCATCCTCTAGTTGCAGTGGCAAAATTATCTTCCACATCCCAACTGCATGCAAGATCCAAGAACACAGCACCCTCTCTATGAGGGAAGCTGCATCCTCCTCCTCCTCCTCCTCTTGTTCCAATGCCGCATGGGTGACAGAGGAGTTCACCAGAAAGCTATGTT